TGTATGTTGATCTTGTGTCTTGCCATTTTGCTGAGCCCCGTCTATTAGGTCCAGTAACTTTCTTGTTGAATCTCTGGGCTTTTCTATGTGTAGGCTCATGTTCCACGATTCTTCTCTCAGGTTTGTTGTCCGTTGGTGGCTTGTGTGTTGCTGTGATGCTGGAAGCTATGCCACCAATATTTCAAAGACCACATCACTTATGGTAGATACGTTTCAGTGGAGCTTCCAGACTAAAGCAGCCTTGGAAGAAGGATTCAGTGGTCCATTTCTGGAGGATTAACTGCCGACAGCCTTATGAAAAGAAGTAGAACATAGTGCTGGATATAGTGCTGGACTCTGAGGCCCTCAGGCTGGGAAGCTCTCAAAATACAATTGGTGAAGAGCTGCCTCCTCAGAGTGGAGTGGACCTTACTGATGTGTGAGGGTCGAGGAAAGCATTCAGGACCTTCATTTGCTGACGGGGCAACCCTGAACATGAGAAGGAACAGCTGCAAACAGCCATTCATAATCTGAATGTGAAATGTACAAAATGGGAACGTAGGGAAATTGGAAATCACCAGAATTGAAATGGAGTACGTGAAGGTCACTATCCTAGGCACTCAAGAGCTGAAATGGACTGGTAATAGACTGGTATTGACCACATTGAGTCAGGCATTCGTATGATTACAATACCAGGCACGGCACATTCAAGAGGAATGGCATCGCATTCGTTATCAGGAAGAATGATCTAGAATACCTATGCAGACACAAGACCAGGTAGCTGTTATTCATATTTACATACGGACCACTAAGCCCAAGGACGCAGAGATTGAAGAGTGGCACCAGTTTCTTCAGTCTGAAATTTACCCACCAGGCAATCAAGACGCCTCGAGGAGCAGCTTTTCTTGGTGCAAAGTTGCCCACCCGTGCCAGGGTCCGGTCCCGTTTACCCACTTAACCACAGACATGTTCTTGCCACCAGAACTTGTCAGCCCAGGGGATGATACAATAAAGCCGTGCCCCTCTCATTCCCCCAGGTGCTTTGGAAGTTGTCTAGATCAGCAACGAATCATCATAGCGTTCCTATGGAACTTCTTGATAGGTCTGCTCGATGATTTGCAGCTTAGTGATGGGTCATTGTTGAAAGAAGTAGCCTCTGATACCAGAGTTTAACATAAGTCGTCTTTACTTCAAAACAAAACTTGGCGGACGGTGGTGTCTGGGGGAGGGGCAGGCTCACATTGAACTGCACCAAGTGAACTATCTTTGGGGTCAATTTCCATGAAACCGAGCCGAGGCCGAGAAGTGCCTGCTAGATAATAAAAGATGAGGAAGCCCAAACTTTAGAGGAAGCCCCCTCCTTTTGTACATTGTGCAAAGCCCGCCTGCTTACGCAGCCTTTTTCAGTTCCTCACGGAATAGTTCTCTGCTAGAATTTTCCCAGCTCGCAACATAAACCGGATGCTTGTTTGTCTAAATCTGGGGGTTTAAGACCCTCGATAATGAGTTGCAATCTTTCGGTAGCAAATCAAAGAGATCACAATGAATAGATCTAACTAAAATCCATCTATTTTAACCCTGTCAGGACTGATGAGCAGAATGATTTTCTGCTTTGAATTTTTGGTTGAGACCCAATTTTCCATAATAGAGGGCATTTTAAGTGAAATGAAAAGATTTTTTTGGAAGTCATACTTATCTTTATGCAAGTAGTGGGACCCAGATATTCCAAGGAGCTTCTGATGCTGGGGTTAGTGGGACGGGATTCACAAGGTGTACAGATAGCCAAACCCACTGCCTTTCAGTCATTTCTGACTCATAGTGACCCTGTGCAGGGTTTCCGAGGTTGTAGATCTTCACAGGTGCACATAAACGCCTCTTCTCCCCACTAAATGGTGATGTGATGATTGGATTTGGAGCACTGACCTTGTGGCTAGCAGTCTAAAGCTTACCTGACAGGGCCACCAGGGCAGCAAACACTGAAAGTAGGATAGCATTTTCCTACTAAACTCTCTGGTTGGACATTTTCTGTTCTTGAGTCTTTCATATTGAGTTAAAAATATTTATGGGGCTTCAAAAAGTTCATGGAAAGATGAAATTAAAAGCTCACGGAATTTTCCCACCAACTTTTTGAAGTCCCTTGTGTTAGTCTGGGTTGACTAGAGAAACAAATCCAGAGACACTCATATATGTGTAAGAGAGTTTTATATCAAAGAGTAATTGTATATTAAGAAAACATTCCAGCCCAGTCTGGTACAAGTCCATAAGTCCGATATTAGTCCATAGTCTATAAATTCCTCTTTAGATTCACGCAGCCATGCAATGATGCTGAATGCAGGAAGATCACAGGCCAGCAGGTAGGAAGTCTTGTGGATCCAGTGGCGGTGGAAGCATCTCAGCTCTGGTGTTGTTCTCCACGTGGCTTCTCCAGCTCCAGGGCTCTGGCTCCATGTGGCTTGTCAACAGGAATGTGTCCCAGAGAGAATGTGTCCCGCCTCCAGTGGGCTATTTATCTCCTAGAGCCTCCAAAGGAGGCCATCAAGCTGTGTCCTGATTGACAGGATAAATGTCCCTTCGCTCCTTAGTTTCAAGTTGACACCAGATTATGTAACTGCCACATTCCCTCATGTAAATGGTGTTTCTTGAACTGCTATGACTAATTTCTGAATTAAAACTACTGAACTCATTCTAGGCATGTGCATCTCTTTAGAAGTTGGTGGGATTAAAGAGTATTTTGAGAAAACAAACAAAAAAACAAAAAACAAATAGCAAAAATTATGGAGAAGATATGAAGAGATTAGAACTCTCAGACGCTGCTGGTGGGATTATAAACATGTACAACCATTGTGGAGAGCAATATGGTGCTATCTGAAGCAACTGGGCATAGAAATACCATATGACTGAGCAATACTCCTGTTGGGCAAATACCCCAAGGAAGCAAGAGAAAGAGCACAGCCATTCATATGCTCCCCTATGTTTATAGCAGCACAATCCAGTGGCAAGAAACTGACAACCCAAATTCCCATCATCTGATGAATGGATCAAGAAACTATGGTACCTATACATAATGGAATACTATGCATCCCTAAAAAATGGCCCTAAAACCACAAAACACCTCAAGACTGGAAACCATTATGCTGAGTGAAATTAGTCAATCACAAAAGTACAGCTAATGTATGGTCCACTATTATAGGATAAAACCAAAAAAAGACAGGTTCTGGCTCCCAAGACATGTTGACTCAACATATGTGAAATTCTCTGCTCAATAATACTATACCATTGACTAAAATAATCTTCTAAGCAATAGAATAACTTTAAACCCTAGGGCAAATGATTTAGGATGTGCTACAATAAAACGACAATGATGTCCCCCAAATCAAACCATGGTCTTATGGAAACAACAGTTGTAAGAATAGATTTTGAAGAATCCCTTGATCGTAGCTCTAATACAAGAACAACATGGCTCTGCATGGTACTTGCCTCCATGAAGAGACCAATGGAGATATGGGTGCCACCGTAGCACAGTGTGGTGAAGAGACTAGATGGTGCCTGGCTAGCATGAGTGACAGTGCTCTGCAGTCATAAAGGCTTGTCTCAAAACAGGGAGCCATCTAAGTGAGGAGTGAGCTATGTCCACATAAGCACACCAACCTGTGTGATCCAAAGATAGCTAATAATAAGATTGAAACCTGGAAAAGGGAACTAGTTCCAATTCCTAAATATCCGTTTTGCAGAAAACCAGACATGATAGTGGTAGCGTAAAATCCACTTACACGGGTGAGTCTTCAGTGAGTCCCTAGTGCACCTGGGCTAGAAATGACAGGAACCCGGGATTTTAGCAACGGGTCTCAGGCTGCAGTGTAACATCTTTTAATTTGATTTGCCTATGGACCCCGTGTGAATTTATTCTAAGCTTTTAATCTCTGCTCTCGATCAGATTAAGGTCTCTATCAGTTTTGGATGGCCATTGTTGATGGATCCTTGCTTGGTGTCTGCCCTCGTCTTGTCTCTGTATAGGGAAACTGGGATGGAAGGAAACATGAAGGTAGTAACGGGACTGATACTTACCTGGGGACATGGAGGGAGAGGGAGGAGAAACGAGGAATCAACATCAGTGTGTAAAAGAAGGGAAAAAACAGTTCCTAAGTTGATTGTGACGGTGAGTCCTTCTTGATTTGATTGAACCACTGAATTATCGCTGTTGCTGGTAGGTACTGGTGAATCCCTTGTGCACAGCAGAAGGGAACCCTACCCAGTCCTGCGCCATGCTCACAACTGTTCCTGTGGTCGAGCCCACGGTGGCAGCCACAGTGTCAGG